GCTCATGTTTCAGCCAGAAGGAAGGAATTGCTTTTGTCCTGGCTATTGTACATGCCTGATTTGGATATCTCAATGTCAGGTAACAAAAAGTTGCCATCTCTTTTCTTCCCCCACCCTTTTAATTAAAGTCTCTTGCATCAAAAGTCATGAAAACTGTCATCTTAAAAGTGCTGGGAAACCCAGGCATGCTGAGCAATCATTGCTTTTGTGGAAGGATCTGTTGATTACCTTCTGTGAGCGTTTCTGTGTCTTCTACAGTGGACTAGGAAGCTCCAGATCACCACAGCTGCATTTTTATATGCAGAAACAATCTAGCGCTATAGTTTCATGGACATTTGTCTTGATGGCAAAACTGAAATTGTTTCCTTCTGCTTGTAGCTATCTTGGTTGTACTAATGCAACTCTGTCTGCAGATGTGCTTTGGATTGAAGGTTTATTGCATCTGGATGAAAAATAACCAGCCAGCTCCCTGAACCAGTCCACAGTGCCAGTGAACACAAAATTATAGCAGTGCAATTAGGAAGGACAATTTGGGAATGGGTACAAGCAGCTGGAGGTGAAGTTTGCTTTAGCTGACCCTGCTGCTGAAAAAAACAGCCTTATACTGCCCCACCAAGTAAGAGGGTAAATCTTGTTAACCAAAGCAGTCTTGAAGAAAATTTTTGTCAACAGGGAGTTCTACAAACTCCTGGGGTGTAAGGAGTGTGTAGAAACACTTTGCTGGCAGTCAGGGTGGAACTGTGCATCCTAATGGCTGAAATGCTGCATGGCATAATCAATTGCATATGAAGGAATCATGCGCTCCGAATTTGATCTGTGCAGAGACATCGGTCTACCTTCCTTGTCCGACAACTTGAAAAGACAGATTTTTTTTAAAAGCATAGTTGCTGCCCTGCCCGGCACTAGAAGCTAAGGCTGAAGAGCCCTTCTGAAAGTCAGTAAGGGTTTAATTAAAAGTAGGGCCACATTCTGGATATGCAAAATTTGAGTCTAAATCCCTTGGAGCATGTTGAGGGCATGAAGATGTGTGCAGGGTAAAGAGTCCTGCCTTGTGGTTATCAGATCCGGCAATCCATTTGCTCATGTAGGACATGTCCGTGCACCAGCACATTGTCTCGAAGCAGCAGATAAATGCATCAGAGCTCATAAATGCTGCTGAGCCAGTGCAGAAGTGCCTGCACCCGCTTCAGGCTCTTGAGATTTCAGGATCATTGCAGGCAGAGGCACCTGCCTGTCTTCATCTGTCCACGTGCGTGTTTCCTGTGCGGAAGTGTGAACTGATTCCCAAACCTTGTGGGTGATCAATCGCTAGAATGAGACAAAGGCTTATCCTCTGCCTTTGTGGCTTAGAGCTTGAAAGGGAAGAGTCCTCTTTGCTCTCTTGGGGATAGTGACCTCATTAGGTGTTTTCTGCCTTTTCTATTTTGGTGGTACAGTATGTAAATATTTTATTTGTGTTTCAAAGCAAAGCTATAGCTGTCGAACAACTTAAAACTTCTTATTTCTTCTGTGTGTCTGCCTTCTTCTTGGCTTATGAGATGATCTGTTCAGTAAAACGTGTCATTTTGAAGCAAATTAGAGGATAGGAAACCATGAAAACAGTTATATCTACTCAATTAGGTTCTTAAGCTGATGATGCAGCCTCATCAAAGTCCTAGATTTAGCTAGAAGCTGCTGTTTTACAGTGGACAGCTGGTACCTGAGTAGCAATGTTTGGTTAAACTCTTCTCAGGCAACATTTCCAGAATAAGATTCAGGAATACTGGTAGACATTCAACTTATGGTACTGCTTGCTAACATTAAATTCATGCTACAGTTTCCCCTTCAATGTGTTTGTATGTCAGTTCTGGAGTGCACTGTATCTTTGTTCTGCCTTTGTCAAAACATATATATAACAAGGAAGTTGTGTCTAGAAACAGTGGTAGTGAGCATGGCAGTGGGTTAAGAGAAGATAACTGGGTATTGGTGATAATCCATGTCAGAAACCCAAGTAATAGACTGGTTGCTAAACTTGATGCATTTAAGTCACTAGACCCGTATCCTTATGAAGGAGAACAGTCTAAAGGCTGTGGAAGGTAAGTTCACTGTGACACAGCCTCTTTCGTCTGGCATGTGACACTTGGCACTGCAAAATCCTGCTCCAGTGTGATCCTGATATGCAAGTAACACAAGAAACTGGCTTTCAGGAGGCTTTGAATCAAGCCCTTCAGAAATGAGAGAAAGGTTCAAAACGCCTCAGTATTTTGCTTGGGTTCCATTAAGCTGCTATTTCCATTTATTGTTTTCCTGTTGCAGCTGGCAAAATATTTCTGTATAAAAAGAAGCTTCTTCTAGCATCCCTGCTCCTCCTGTATGGTTTTGCAACCTAAAGCCTGACATTGTAGGTGTTTTCATAGTGGTAAGTGACAACCTCACAAACACAGAATTGAAGTATTGCTGCAAAAATCAGACAGGGAGAGGCAGTGGGGAGAAGATGGTATGTTAAAACTGGGTGAGATAATGCAGAAGAATGCCAGTGTTTTGCCAGAGCATCTTCTCTCTGAAGGGAAACCTCTTGTAGCAGGTGGGGGCTAGTGGGGTTGTTTCCCAGGCTCTCTGGCTATGAACTGTGTGTCTCTGGCATCCCTCTGCTTCTCTGAGCCCTTACTCTGCAGGTGTTTTAGAACATCAGATCTATGTGTTACAGTGTATAGTTTCTGCTGGAATTGTTGTAGGCTGTGTGAAGTGGCTGGGATTGGCACTGTGAGGTGAAACAAAACAATACCTCTGATAGAAACCAGGCTGTGTGAACACAAGGCTGGAAATGACCTCCTAGGGCACTCAGGGTTATTCTTGTGCTATTGCAGGAAATCATATTACGCAGACCCTTTCATAAGCTTAGTGTGCTCACAATTAGCACAATTAGTTGCTTCCACTGCAACTGTTAAAAGGCCCTTCCAGAGACTTACTTATCTAATGGTTAAACTATTTAATATTGAGCATAAGCTGTCCACATTTAGACTATTGCTGTGTTCTCACTGATGTGGTTTCTCCAGGGTTTGCTTCCACTTGATGTACTTATAAAATGTAGTCATATCACTGTGGTCCCCTGGTTTTACTAAACGAATGCTCCGAGCTGTTTTGGTCACCCCATTGGAGATAGGCAGAAGCTGTGGTGTGGATCCTGTTGTTCCAGCCAGAACACTGTCATGCTAGTAATAGCTACACTGTGAACAGTGGTTTTGGGTGATATAAGCTGTTTCTGCACTGTTTCCTGGTACTCTTTTGCCACAAGGGTTTTTCCAGTATAGATCTAGCCTCTAAGTGTTGTAGCCTAAACGTACTATGGAAAAAGGGGCTCAGATTACACTGGCAGCTCTTTGGATTGTAACACCCTGGTCTTTTGCAGTCAGCTGAGCACTGTATGCTGTGGTTTCATCTATTTTTACTTATAGGGGTATCTTTCAGTGTGAAGCTGTATTTTTAGTGTGTAAATAATATAGGTAGAATACCATGCACTTTTTTTTATACAAGGTTTGGTTTATTATACACAGCCTTCACGTTTCTAGTTTTTGTGTCTTTGCTGCAGGGTGGAAGTTGAGGGGGTGCTGCATGCTGTGACAGTCGGGCAGGGAATACATGGGATGGGTTTGGCACCTGTGGAGAGCTGGAAGGCACTGTGGCACTTGCATATTTGCCAGAGTTCTTGGAAACATTATCATTAGTTAAGCAATACTGATATTTAAGCACTCGTCTTTGTTTCAGAGCTCTACTGAATAGGGGCAGTTTAAATAGGACTAATGTTTCAAGCTGTCAGCTGCTGCAGGAAGCTAAGATGTAATTTTTAATGATTTTTCAGACCATCAGGTGCACTCTGCAGAGAAGGGGTGGGTTAGGGATGGGCAGTAGCACAGGATCTCTGGAGTCTTGATTTCAGCTTCTATGGGACAGGCCCCTGTCTATAGTGACTATATTTAAATTTGAGGAAGGCTAGTGGATAAAAACAAATTTCTGAGAGAATCTTTGAGCAAATACTGCTGGTGCTGAAGATGCACAGTCACTATTGCCATCTTAACATGATCATCTCAAGCTTAGCCAGGGGTCCCCACCTGACTACTGCTGCATACACGTACCTCTCCTTAACCCTGCTCATTTCCCAGAAGACGACAGCTCAGAAAGAGGATCTGTCGCTGGAGGGAAAACAGGCTTTACCGCATCCCCCCTCCCAATGCAGCAAAACACTCTCCAGCAATCCACTTAATGGCAGACCAAAACATACACTCTGTGTTAAGCCTGCGTGCGAGTTGTGTGTTGGATGCTGGCCAGAGTATTTGATACATCATATAATAAGGCTTTTTCATGCAGTTCATTTGTTCCTTTTTATTACTCAATTTTGAGACTGGCAGTGGTGCAGGTTGTGCTTGGGGTTTTATTGTGATCAACACCTTGGAGAGCTGTACTTGCCTCTGTCTTTTCTCAAAGGCGACAAGCAAGAGATGGCAACCTCTTGCTTCTGACCTCCTTTTGGAAAGGTTGTATTTTGAACATGCTGCATACCCAGTTGTTAATCTACAAATTGTTATTTGAGGAGAATTTGTGCTTGGGCTGGTAGAATTTCTTGTCTGCAGGAAACTTCTATTTCTAAAACTTCTTTTGTTTCAAATCATAACACAAAAAGCCAACTCAATAGAGTTGAAATGGCATCACACACACACGGAAAAAAGGTTGAGCATTGTGGCATCAATACGCTAATGTTGCAACAAGTTGATGTTGAAATTAATTTCTAAGTATGTTGGAACTAATTGAAATGTTTTCCTTAAACTTTATATGTTAGTTTTCTTAACACACTGAGATGAAATGGACATGGTCCTGCAAAACACTTCATTCTGGACAAACTACTTCCTATCAGCAAACCCATTTCATTTTTTTTAACCAGACTACTCATAGTTTGGGAGAATGCAAGCACCACTTGCTTTAGCCCTGAGCCATAGCTCTCTTTGTTAATCACCTCCACCGTTTAGGATTGAACTGGTGTGACTAGCCCACTGTTGAAGTATGACGTCCTGCAGTTGCCCAACTCGGGTACCATCTGAAAATGCCTGGCCAACATCAACTCTGCAAAAGCCACCACAGGAATTCACCAGGAGCTGTTCCTATTTCAGCAGTGCATTCATCGCTGTCTGTTACATGGGGTAACCTGGTCCAGAAATTATGCTCCTACTCTCACGCCAAAGATGAGTCCTTGAACGAAGCCCCTGCGCACTTGCAGTAGAATAACAAAGAACCTCCTTAAGAGAGAAGAAAGGGGAGGAGAAAGCATTGCTCTCTGGCTATAGCAACCCCACCTCCCGGTTATTTCATCTTCCTTACAAGGCTAAAGCTAGAAGCTTTCCTCTGCTGCCTGGGTCACTTAAAAGCAGCAGAGCAAGCCCTGAGGATCCCAGTGGAGTGCAGCCAGGATGCGAGGCTGATGGAGATGGGAAAGGAGGCACTGGCGTGAGCCCTGCAGAGAGCACAGCTGAGAAGGCTGGTGCTCTCCAGAGGAGAAGTGTGACAGTATCCTATGAATCCTAAACCAGGTGTTCATTGATGCAGATCTTCCAAAGAAACATGAAACCAAACCCAAAAAGAAATCACTGAGGGGGAAAAAGTGCAACATGAGAGGTAAATATATTTTTCATTGGGAAAAACAAAAATAACTGGCTTTATTTCATTTGGAAATCGTTATTGTAAGTAGATGTCTAAAACTAGGGACTGAAAAATACATTTACTAACATCTGAATAAAGACTTTGGTCTGACTCCAACTTCAAAAGCAGCACTGGGTTAAAAAGTCAGATCAACAGATGAATTCAGGTGCCTCTGAAGAAATTTTTTTAATTCACACCTGAAAACTTTCTTAAAATCTGCTTTTCTGTTTTGCTCTCTCTGCTATTGCTAAAGGGTTTTGAGAAGTAGTATGCATGTTGCTTGGGGGAAAAAAAAAGAGAAAAAGAGTGGCAGAACCAAAACCTAAACTGAGAATGTGGTAAACTGCCTCCAGCGAGACATTTCAAATGCTTCCGTACCTCTGTTCTTGCATTAGTGCCATTTCTTCAGAAAGATCCATGACCTACTGAGCTGGAATGTCTGTTGACATCTGGTTGAGGTTACTGTAGCTGGTATTTGAGATTCAGTTTTTTCCAGTTTAATTGAAACAAGCTGAGATTGTCTACACATTCTATGAATTGTTTCCACACTCTGACCATCTAGTCTCTCTGAAGGGTAATTCTAGGACTGCTGAATCTGAACTGGAAAAGAGGAAACACCTTGATAGTTCAAAACTGCAGCCCTTCCGAGGGTCATGCTGCCAGTGAAAGTCAGAGCGGCTGAAAGGTGGAAGACTTTGCCCTTTGTCTGTAAGATGCACCGAGACAGATGTTTTGCAAATATGATACTACTGACTTTAGCGTAACTGTAAGATATAATACTTGGGCTTCTGATTTACATCTTTGTAATGCTAGAGGACTTACAGATGCTTTTATTCACCAGGTAAAATGAAAAACTGGCCTTTTGAGAATAGCTGCTGGGAGCTGTGACAAACCAAGAGACCAGAGGATTACTACACAGCTCCTGCAGATTCTCATCTAAGGCATTGGCTCAGCCTTCCAGCAAGTGTATGCTGAGGTGTGAGTTCAGCAGCCAAGGATGGAAGTGCTACGCCGTTCCTCAGTCTTTGCTGCAGAGGTGATGGAGGTTTTTGACAGGTCTCCCACTGACAAGGAGCTTGTGTCCCAAGCCAAGGCTCTCTGCAGAGACTACATAAATTCGAGGCTAATTCGAGCGGGTGTCAGCTGGAGCAAACCTGAGTACAATGCACCAGTACCTGGCGGTAAGCTGGCTGAGGTGTCCACCATACTGCTGCGACTAGGTAAGTCCCTGCGGGTATAGGTGGGAACTGAAACTATATGGAGCAATTCAGACCAGACTAAAGTTTCTGGAACTGATGAGTGCCAAGAGGCTTTTCATGTGATGATATAGAGGTTTTTCTTCTCTGCTTTGGGCATTTAGATTTGTTTTTGATGATCTTCCCTAAACAGCTCCTTTACTTGCATTTCCTCAGTCCCTTGGAGCACTGCTCAGCACAGTGTTTCTGCAGAGCTACTTTTTTCTGAGGACTTGCAACAACTTAAAAGCATGATGCAGTCCAAGAAAGCCCAACAGCAAACTAATTTTATCTGCAGAAGACTCCAGCTGTGTAACAGTTTTCACAGTAGTTTCGGTAGTCTTTCTCAGCTTGGCATTTTAACAGGTCTTGCAGTGTTTTCTCCAGACGTGGGTGACTTGGCTGCCATGATGCAACCTAAGCTGGCATCTTAGTAGAGTACTGCTACCTCTAGACTTGGGCTTCATCAGTTGCTCACCCAGCTGTGAGGACGTTTAATTTGAGGGTAGTTGCTTAGACCATGTGCATTGGAGATTTTATAAAAGCTGCTTTTCAATGACAGTGTGTTGACAGTGTGTTTAATTGTCCTTTGCCTACCTTAATCATTCATCAGGACATGAGTTTTCTTGTGTTTTGTTGGAGCAAGGAGGAGTTGGCTGATGTTGCCTGGCATACACTGCCATTCAGTGCCCAAACTAGCCAGCTCCGCTCACGGCCAGGTGACTGCCAAGGCTGCAGGGAGAGTGATTTGAAGGTTATGCCTGTAGGCTGCTACATGAAGACATGCTCTGGAGTTGTGCTTGTACCAGGAGAACCTTCTAAATGCTGACAGTTGCCTGGCCTTTTCTTTAGGTTTTGGCCTCCTGCGTGCTCAAGTCTAGCTGTTTGTCTTTTGGGATCCCAACACCCTCATTCTTGGAAGTTGCTTCCAACATCCCTCTTTGCCTGCAGGCTGTATATTAGTTCAGATCTGGCTTGGAAACTACCACTAGCATTTGCATCTGATTTAATTACACCAAAGTTCAAATAAGTCTGGTGAAGTAACATTTAGCTGTGCCTAACAAACTCAGGAGCAGGCTGGTCTCCCCGCTTTCTCCCCTTTCTTTCTACTTCTGTTTGATATTATTCCAAATTTCTTTTTAAGGCATAGCTGTGTTTCTTTTAACTGACTTTTTTTCGTTCATTCTTTTTCACTTTTTCTCTCCTATGCTGACTTTACTTCTATTTTTGTTTCCAGTGGTTGTTTGGTCTTTGGGGTTTTTTTTTGTTCTTCTGTCAATCTCACTGCCTCTTTGTCCTCCATTTCTTCTCCGCCTGACTTGGCGGTTGAGATTTGTTTGCTTTCAACCAGATCTTCTGTGGGTGGCCAGGAGCATGTTAAAGGGCAAGCAGGTGGCAGACTGGATCTGAAGGCGTCTCCTGGATGACTCTCCTGTTACTTATTCGTGTCCAGATGGAAAGATTTGGCTGATAGTCCCAGGAACTTGGTGCCTTCTCTGAGCAAATCTGTTTGGAGAGCACCATGTGGTACCAATGCAACAAGAAGGGTGAGCAGTCCTCCTTATTAGGATGAAGAGTTGTTTCCATCCTGTTTGTTCAGAAACTCTGCCTGCCACATGGCCTGTCCCTTTCTTTTCCCCTTCGCTGCTATAACCAGTACAAGGCCGAGTGGTATCCAGCCACCTGCCAGGAACAGTAGTCCTTAGCTGCTTACTAAGCAGTGCAAAAAGCCAGATCAGTTTTTTCTCCATGGTAGTACTGAGAAGCCTGTAGAGATAAGAAGTTGGAGTATTTCCTAGCCCTCTTGCATGTAGGGAGTCCAATGAACTGGCTGGTGGGCCAGCAGAGGTGCTGGGCACAGGTGATGCAGTTGCAGTCTTGGGGAGTGAAAGCCCATCAGCTCAGTGAGGCTTAGCAGCTAATTAGTGCAATTAATGAGTCAGAGGTGGCAAAACCTAATGAGACACTGCAGATCAACCTGCTGTATGTGTCAGAGGTCTGGTTTATTTGAACTTGTCTATTCTGTGGCCAAGACCCAGGCAAGTGCCCTTTCACCACTGCACTGAGCTTCTGCATGTGGGAACTGTCACTGCTGCCCTCCTTGTTCCTCCATGATTACTGGAGGGAGGAGGAGAAGCACAGAAATTGCTCTAAATGTTGCAAAGTGTGCAGCTGGGCATCTGAACATGGACACTGAAGACTGCCACCAATGTAACATGCTGCTGGAGAGGTCCTGGGGCTGCCAGGGCGAGGAGTCTCCATGAGCCTGGGACTGCTTTCCTGTGCTCTTCTTCCCCTGCCCGCTTTTGTCTGCTCTGTGCATTGCTGCAGGGCAGGGCCCGCTTTAGCAGCATGTGTGCCTCCAACCAAAACCTGATCTCATCTGGGGCCTCCAGGCACTGCTTGTTAAAAGCTGTAACAGTGGCAGGCTACCAAGTGCTGATCCCAGCCTCCCATGCCTCCCTCTCAGCTAACCACCGGCAGGGCTATCCCCATTTCCTTGCATTCACAGGGAAGCCTGTGTGCTCCCTGCAAGGAGAAAACAGATGTTGAGTAGTGCAAGTAATGTTTCCTCTTATCAGGGTTGACCATGTGTTGGCAGGGTTTCCTCTTGCCATCAAATTGTGTGGGAGAGTCACACACAAAGGGCCCGGAGAGCTCATCTGTGGAATTCTGTAGGGCTGGGCTTTGCCTGTGCTGTGTGCCAGTGACCAGTTAGATGAATTAAGGTCCAGTGACATGACTGATAAAGCTAATGACTCTATAACAAGCTCCTGACTAGGGTGTCATCTTCCTCTTCAGTCCTCATCTAAATGAAATTTTCAGGAGGATCAGTTGCCCCAGTTGCAAGTCATCTGGGTCTTGCAGTAGGACATAAAGCTGTTGTGACAGCTCTCCTGTTCCTCTGGGTGCTCCAGAGCACCCTTGTGCAGGAGAAGGATGCAGAGTGTCCTTCTAAATCTAAACCAAATAGGACTCTCCATGCACAAAGGGCCTTGGTCCCATGCAATGTTTGCATTGTGTAATGCTTCTACAGCAGCTGTGCAACCCTCATTAAGTATCTGTGAACCCCTATAGAGAGATAAATCCATTGGAAACTGGGCTTTATTAATTCTACTGCTCAAAAATGGTTTGTTTTGCTACAGAGGAAAAGCATTGCTGCTGTTGCCCAAGCTCCATAGCACAAACCTGTGGGAGGAGGTTCCCTGCTTGTCCTTGGTATTTCCGTCTTGGTCTTCAAGCTAGCCTAACACCTCCAACCATTTCCCAGCTGGGGAGAAAACAACCTGGAGGTTAAAGCATGTGTCTGTGTATGTCAGGAGCCTTGTTGCTGAGGAGTCAGCCAGGCAAATGAATGTCTCTTTAACCATTTGGAGGAGAGAAAGAAGTCCAGATTGTCACTCAGTGCCTGCGTGAGCGTAAAATAGCTGAGCTGATAGTCTCTTTGCTCAATTAATGTTGTGCAGCTCTGGGTGGATCCTTGGCTTTCATCAGCCTCCAGCATTCTTTAGTCGCTCTCATCTTGAGGCTTTTTTGTACAAGTCTGATGGGGTGTTGAGAAAGGGTGTATCTCTCAAAAGCTTACGTAGAGGTACATGCCTCCTTTTCGCTTCTGAAGAATAATGAGATGGCTTTGCTTATCTGAGGCCTGCCTCCTGTGTTGGAGGAAAGGCAGGCATCCAGCCTGGGAACATCATTTATATCGGGGATTACTGCAGCCACACCACTGGTACAGGGCCACTGCCTGTCCCCACTCCCTTTAGAAGTCCCAGGCACAGGGGATATTAGGAAAGCATGGTGCAGGTGGCAGGGGGTTGCATCTAAATGACCCTAAGTGCTCTGCTGCCTGTTTAAAATAAGATGGAGCTGGGGTTAAGTCTCTTCGACTGGAGGAATATGTGGGGTGGCCCCAGCTGTAATTCCTACATGGTGAGAGCAGGACTTGGTGTTCTGCATGCTGACGCCTGACTGTTTGTTTCCAGGGGATGAGCTGGAATACATTCGCCCCAACGTCTACCGGAATATCGCCCGCCAATTGAACATCTCGCTGCACTCGGAGACAGTGGTGACGGATGCCTTCCTGGCAGTAGCTGCGCAGATTTTCACTGCAGGTACTGTGCCCTGACAGATACACAGACAGGGCTGGGCAGAAAGGAACAGGATAGAGCCACCTCTCTCAGAGAAGGCATGTTTCTGGGATGGCCTGCAAGGTGGGGCATAGTTTCTGAAAGGGCTGTGGGCAGTTTGGCAGTGTGCCCTGCTTTAATGATTTAATGAGAGCTCCTCTATGCTCTGTTGTTCTGGCCGGGAAATGCCCTGTTTTATTATATCCTCCTGGCAGGTTCTTGCTCATTCTAGAAGGCATCTCCTGCCCTTCCTCATTAGGAGGTGGTGTTACCTCATTGCACAGGGAGGTCACTCATTCCAAGCTCCTTTGCTCACCATTGGCAACTGGAGAAGATTCATTACATGGGAGTTTCCCTTGTTCCAGCTCATGCTGCTGATGCTAGGAGCCAGAACCAAATCATCACAAGGGAGTTCCTCTCTTTCTGGCTTCCTTTTCCCCAGCAATAGCCAGAACTGCAATGGAGCCTGCTGCTTCCAGTTGTTGCTTCTACTTTCTCATACTCAGAGAGACAGGAGCCTCGGCCCTCAAGGCTAGCTGTTCCAGACAAGCGGTTGCTTTGAGCTTTCTCACTGCTTAGACATGAATGTTCTTCTGCTTCTGTTTGGCTCATCCCAGAGATGATAGAGACGTAGATTTACATCAGGCAAGTCCTGACACGATTGTAGGTTTTCTGCAGTGTCTTGTTGTGTTGTCCATGGAAGGGACAGTAGGTGTTAGAGACTGGAAACAAACAAAAAAAACCAACAAAAAAGAAGGGAAAAGACAAAGACAGCTACTTGCTAACAGCATAGTAGCGTGAAAACACTGGATCCAGTGACATTGACATGGGAAGTGTCACAGGAGGCAGTGATTCTTGTTACTTTGGGAGTAGTTGGTACACGATAGAAGTCCAGGTTTCTGTTGTACTTTCAAATAGGCTTCCTCACTCAAACCCTTTTTATCTTCACAATTGGTGATGTATCTTTATGCGTATGAACTGCATGGGAACCACTGACACCCTAGAGAAGCCCTGTGCTGACATCCTGGACTTCAGATCTGAAGTGTGTTGTGGTGGAGAGCACAGATCCTCTCCAGAATCACAACAGATGACAAAATAGATCTGAGAGAGACTGCAAAAGCATGGCTCTCAGCAGGTCTAGTAGGGCAGATTTACTCCCCAGATCAGGGAAACTGAAGCTGTGCCATAAGAAATGGATAGAATTGGATTCTGTAGCTAGTAGTGCAGCCCTTGGCATCCTTTCAGAGCATGCCTGGAATGCAGATTGCCTTTGCACTGGGCTGACTTGGGAGGCCGTATGGGCTCAGAAAGAAAGAGCTAGGCAAGTATGGCAGGAATGTCTGAGTGTGGCTGTGTTCAAAGTTCAGGTGCCCTGTCTTGTCACTTAGTGCTGAGCCTTACTTGCATCAAGGCTTACAGAAAAATGAAGATCAAGTTTGCAGGCTCAGGTATTTGTATTGCAGGTAAGTAGGTTATCTTCTTAGATGACTATAGCTAACTACATCAGAACTGGCCTACCTCCAAAGCTGAAGTGACACAGGGAATTAAGCCAGAAAGGTGGGTGGCTGCAGGTGGAGCAGACTGTGCGTGCTGCTATGCTGCATAAACATGATGGAGGAAACAGGAGAAAGCCCTGCTGGCTTCTGGGAGTCCTGCTCTCGCTGGTGTATATTGACAGATTCATTGAGAGCCGCATTTTTTGGAGTTCTTCAACTTCTCAGTTCAGGAGTCAAGTGAAAAGTGTGGATGGTTTAAAATGTTTCTGTTGAAAGTAAAGCTAGAAATTGTAACTCTTGGTTCTAAACTTGGGGTTTTCAGGGTAGTAAGAATGAGATCTGGACTCAACCCTTTGAGGCTGGCAATGCTAGAGACTTTGGGAACATGGTAGAAGCCCAGGCTCAAGCTCTGTTGTTAGTTCTGCCCCTTATCTGGGGACACCGTGCTGCATAAATGGCTGGCAGTTGGCTGGCTGCACATGGGGTGGATTCAAACCTTCCTGGTGCTCTGTATGCTCTTGTTTTTTCTTCTTTCTCATCTCTGCCTCAGAGCAACTAACAGGATAACCTGTGAGCATGAAGCTGGGGTTGTGTATTCAATTGCTTTTATCAATTCATTGTTGTAATTTCTCTTGCTAGAAGGCTGCTGAGAGGCAGAGGGGGGGGAGTTTGCTGATTTTTAATGTTCCTGGATCTCAACTGCAGTCTCAAGACTTAGTATTTAATGCTAAATACAGCAAATCAGAGTTGGCTGTGGCAGCCAGACACTCATTCCTAATTTTTTTCATAGTTCAGAGGAAAGAGGCTCTCATTGAGCAAAGGAAACCAGAGATTCAAGTGCAGTCTGAGTTTTCATGCTAATTGCCAATGACTAAAGCATCTCAGCGTGTTTTTCACTGTCCAGTTTATTAAGAAAACAGCTACAGTCTGGCACTGCAATGCCTAGACAGTCTGGGGAGCCCCATTAGTCACTCGCAATGCCTTTCCAGCAAGAGGGTGGGGGATTTTGACCCTATCTTGCTGGAGAGGTTTTCTCCTTAATCTTTTACATGGCCTTCTTCCACACTCTGGTCTGGTTTTGAGTCTTTACACTGTAGCTCTGGCTGTGCTCACTTCCTGCCCACACTGTCTGCAAGTCTTGACTAAGCACAATCCCTAGATGGACCTCTCAAGAAGGCAAAACTGAGGACATCTGGCATCTTTGTTGGTCCCACTGCATGGGTACGTTGTGCCATATTCAACTTCAGAGCATTGTCTATTCCAGTTATCTCAGGTTTGGCTCTTCTCTGGTGTAGCAAGGACAGCTTGAATCCCAATTACGGCAAGATTAACAGCTGAGAATATAGGCAGAAGGTGAGCAGGTCACAGAGCATGGTAAGGTGCAAGCTGTATTTTGCTTCTCTGTTTCCATACAACCTGTTAGTTATTCAGGGTGAGGAAAGCCCATCTGTGTGGAGACTGGCACCGCAGAGCCCTGACTTGCTTTGGATGTTGAAGGATCTGCAGCAGCATCACCTCTGTGACAATACCACTGGTTCTGGTGTGGGGTCCAAAGCTGCTCTGCAGCCAGCAGGAAACTTTCCACTGACTTTAACAGCCGTTGGATTGGGCCTGGCTGAGCTGGCATTTACATTAGCTGTTTAAATAAATCCCAGAAGGCAGGGGTCACTTGTTGGAAAAACAGAAGAAGAAAAGGGAGGTGCATTTTCCTTTCCTAAGGGAAACCGTTTCCTCCAGTTGGTAAGAGCTGCTAGGCATGAGGGCTCTCTCAAAGCTTTCATCCTGGTTTTGTATTGTTTTAAGTGCTCATTAGTTTTTAATCAAGAGTGCTTGGGCTGAAGTGAACCCTGTACAACAGGAATGCATGGTTAATGGGTTCTAGGGAGAAAATACTTTCCCCTGCAGGGCAAATGCTGTTAGAAATGCATCCCACTGCTTCCTCGTCGCTTAGGCCTTATGAGTTGAGCTTCCTGCCTTGCGCATGTCCTTCTTGGCTTCTTTCTCTCCACCAGAGGAAAGTATATTGTGTCTGGCTGTGTCCTCCCAGCTGTTGAAATGTAGCACTTGATCATGTTTCTCTTAGGTCTGATTTGAAAGTCAGGCTTTGATGCTGAGTGGAGCAGAGAGAAGTTTATTTGAGTAACCTTGGATAGTGTGGTGCTCTGAGACTCTGTACAGTCGCGTCTCGTGGCTTCTTGAGCTCTCCCCTGGGGCAGGCAAGCTGATGTGCAGCAGGAATGTTTCAAGAGCAGTCCTCTCCTGCTAATTCATTTTCCCCTGGGCTCACCAGTGTTTACATACCTTCAGCTCCATGACTGGCCTTGAGTCTGCAACTTGTATTTCTTACTTTTTAAAATGCCTTCTAAGCAGCTTTTCACATTTTCCGTGTCCTTTTGTTCTATCTCTGTGAGCAGAAGTTTCAGAGCTTTCTCTGTTTTGAACACTCCTTTATGGACCAGTTTTCCATTCCCTCTTGTCGTTAGCTCCTGTGCATGCTAGTCCACACAGTGGGAAGCTGGGAATGATTGTTTCTCTTGGCGATGAGTGCCCGTTTCACCCAATGTGGAGGGCAGCCAGACCTTTTGAGGAATTTGGAGCAAGACAATGTGTCTTCTCTGCTCATGTGCACTGGCCAGATGCAATTCCAGCTTATGCCAAGGGATGCATCAAGCTAGTGTCACCTTGACCCTGGCCTGGACATCACAGGGGCGAAGGCACTGCCCTCCCAGTAGACTGTGCTCCTCTACCCCTGCCAAGGGAATCCTTGAGAGAGAAAAGTTAATGGAGCTGGTGTCCTGGAAAAGCATAGATGGGGCTGCTGTGGCCTGTTCCCCTGCGCTGCCTGGGGCTGGGCGGCTGCTGGAGCCCTCCTGGGGCAGAGGGACTGGCCACAGGCATGGCCCAGCTTTGGTCTAGAGCAGCTGTTAGAGGTGTCTGCTCTTCCCTTGCTTCAGGCCTCCCCTACAACATCTTATGCGAACAAGAGCATAAGCTGTGCCCTGCTGTCTTGGGTGAGGAGCCCAGCCAGCTGTGTCTATCTTCTGCCTCCAGCAGTGGCAATAGGAGGGTCCGTGCAGAGAAATCAGGAGGGGATTTCCTCCTCTCCCACCCCTGTGGCCCAGCTCTGCCAGTAACAGGAAAAGCAGACTGAAAGGTTGGTTTGACCCTTATAGGCATGCTCTGTAAATAGGAGGATAATGGGAAGTGACCGCTGAGCCCATCACCACGATAAGCATTGGCCAACAACTTGCCCTCTTTCTGCTGTCCATGTGAAAGGGAGAGGGGCTCTGTCCATGTGCTGGGGAAGCGTTTACCTCATGCAAGTCCTGCAGCAAGCACCACTACGTAGCAACCTTGGCAGAGAAGCCAGAGCTGAAGGGCTTTCTCTCCATCCTCCCTGGGAGGAGACACCTGGACTGACATGTCTGTAGAGCAAGCTGCTTTCCTGTGTATTAGGGAAATCATGGGTCTATTGAGCCTTTATCTTTCATAGGTTGTGGATACACTTTTCTTCTGTTGGAAGGCGAAACTTGGGTTTAAAACAAAGTTAAGACTGCAGCTGTCTTTCTCTACCAGGGTGGCCTCAGCCCCCTGTCAGTCTTAGTTACTGCCATGTAAATATCTCAAAGCTAATGGACTTGCTTCAGATACTTAAGAAAGAGTGCTATCAGTAAAGCTTGGGAATAAGCCAGTGAACTCTTCCCTGGAATTTCTGGGTAACTTTGGTTCATGTAACTCAAGATGCAAGGAGACGCATTTCTGCAGGGATGGAGAATAGCAAAAAATGATTTACACTAAAGCTGAGTATAAGCCAGCTGAGGCTTTGTTCCAGGAGATTGCGGTCAGCAAGAGGTAACCCCTTAAAGCCTCTTCATTGGGTGGAGAGGTATTGACGTGCAACAGAACAGCCTCTTTCTTGCCAGGAGAAGCCCTCTGTCTAGTATTTTCTCATGTGGTTTCATAGCCCCTTCCTGGCTCGTTCTGCTGGCTGTCATGGTGACATGCAATGTGAGAAAGACAGATAAATAGTGTGAATACCACACAGGTGGTGAACTTCCTGAGTGACAGCTCTGGGGAAGGGACACTGCAGAGCCTACTCAGAAAATAAAATCAGAATAACAGCCAATTTAGCTATATTAATAACTTCCTCTGATCTTGGAGATAGTGCTGGTGAAAGATAGAGTATCACAGGAGACTCTGAGCTACTGCTGTTACTGTTGCTATAGAGCCTCACAAAAGGATCATCTGTAGACTTTGATCTCATATCAGTCATGAGCGAAAAATGGCTTTTTTTGGAACACTGAATGGATTTTCTTCAGTCTAACAAGCCATTCCTGTGGCTGACATTTGAACAGTTTCTCTTAAGTTTAGTACTTTTTTTATTTAAAAAAAAAAAGCAAGCTGTTCCTAAAAGTGTTAGTGTGAGTGTCCCTTTTGAGGTACTAAGTGGAAGGATTGTGGAAATGCTCTGAAACCTGCATGTATTGTAAAGAAATGTGGGGAGCTCTGCTGTGGTGTGAACAGGTGTGAGGAGTCTGGATCTGCATTCCAGAGAGATGGGTCGGGGTGCCTAGGGATCTGGGAGTGCGATGCAGGGAAGAGGGAGACTCTTAATTTCATTTAAATTGTATTTAAGGGTTTGCTTTCTTAGCTGATAGATTGCTGAGCACACCCAGTTTCCTGATCATGTGTTTAACCCCTTCTGGTCCTTATATCTCATGACTGAATTAATCTTTCCTTCCTCTCACGCGTTTTCTTTCTTGTTGCAACCCAGCAAGAATGGTTTTGTGTGGGTTTTAAATACTGAAACTTCACCTGGCTTCTGGCTACATTTGAGAGAGACCTTGGACAGACTCTGTAGAGACCTAACACTGTAAAATACTTCACAGTATGCTTGTCAAATACTGCTATTCCAGATAATAAAGTAAGGGGGGCAATTAAACTTCCTAGCGGATCCAAAGGAAATCCACATGCCATAGCTTTTCTGCATGGGTGCAGAAGGGTTGTGTTTCCAGGTCACTGGTCCTGATAAAAGCCTGATGAGGGACTGCTGGCTGCAATGTTTAAGCATGGAGGATTTATGCCCAGTGGTGTTGGCAAAGTGTGGGGGAGACCCAGGGAGGTTGGCTGGTACCTAGAACTGAGCTCGAGCGCTTATCGCTAGCACTAACAGGAAGATGACTGCTGCTGGGACAACTTCTATGGAGCATTCACTGTTGGCAGGTCAGCCTAGCAGGAAGGCTGTTTTCTGGGAGATTAGATAACTGACTGACACTCTGTCCCTGCACTGCCTTCAGTGGGATAGGATATGCAATGTTAAGTATTGTAGGCAGAGTGGCCAAATTCTTGAAGCTACCTGGTTTTCACATGGTGACTGAGACATACTCCTTACATCAAGGAGGACGCCAACCCTCTTGGCCCTGTAGCTTTGCCTCCCTTTTTTGCTCTTGTGTCATGGTAGAACTGACTGAAGATGCTTATCTCACACGTGCTTTGCATGCCACATTGGAACACTCTCCTCAATCTAGAAAAAAACAGGAACGCTTTGTCTAAAGGGTGTTTAAGAGTTGCACTGGTGACAAAAGCCCCAGGTTGCTCAAACTCTTTGAATTCAATTGCTTCCTGTGCAGCATGTGCATGGCTGAGAGTTAATGGCAATACAAACCATGGCGGTGCACATCTTCCCTATTTTGATGATGTCTTTGGGCTGCTTTCTCCAAAGCTGTGCACCCAGTGCTGAGAGGGGGTCATGCCCTGGTCAGACCACTTAATTCTGTTCCTTTGGGTGGAGTGTTTTCCCCAGTCCTGGTCCCCTAGTATTTCTTTTCCCCAATGGTGGAGAGCGTGCAGAACTGTGGCTGCACCTGAACTCAGAGCTGCATGCATGCAGTGTGGGCATGTGTAACGAAGGAGAGCTGTTTCCCTTGATTATTCAAGACTGAGCTATGTGTGCGTGTGTAAATCTGAATGACTTTTCTTCTTTTCATAGGCATAACATGGGGCAAAGTGGTGTCTCTCTATGCTGTGGCAGCTGGGCTGGCGGTGGACTGCGTGCGGCATGCGCAGCCAGCCATGGTTCACACCATCGTAGACTGCCTGGGGGAGTTCGTCCGCAAGACCTTGGTGACATGGCTGAAAAGGAGAGGAGGCTGGGTAAGAGATACTATCTGATCAAGCTTGCTTCCACATATGCAGACCAGAAAATATCTCAGTTGATGAAAGTCAGAGTGCCCCCACTGCAGCTTTATGCAGAAAAACATTGAATGAGATTCTTTTCCACAGCTCTGTGGCCACCACTGTCCTACTTACACCTGTGCTAGACTCCATATAGCTCTTACTGCCTCGTGGTCCCGTCCTCGACAACATCAGCTATTCTGGTCCTCAGCTTCCTGCATAGCTGTGCCAGACTAATTCAATCCTGACCCACCAGGGCCTCTTCTGTTCCTGACCTGAACATCTCTGGAGCTGCCAGCCAGTCATAGTGGGAGACTGTAAATATGCATCATTCTCTTGGGCAGCTGTTTTCTAGAAACTGAAGAAAATGAGGCCTGCCAACTTAATTCCCCTTTCACCTGCCCCACAGTTCCCCAAGTAAAAGCTTAGTATATTAATGTGACTTGACACTGTAAGGAATTTTAGAGGGATATTAAAACCTGGTAGTTTGTGCCATTCCCTGACTTTACCTTGATGATGCTCCATTAATAACTTCTGATGTAGCTCAAATTGTAGTGTGCTTATGCTTTGAAGGGCACTACACATACACTGGCACATGGCACTAACACCCATTGACAGTGGGAGGGCTTGTGGCTCTGTCACTGACCTGCTCTGAGACTGTGGGTAAGGCACGGTGCTGCTCTGCGTTTGAGTGTGGCTCCATATCGTATGGTTTTAAGGATCTGATCTCTTTGGTTCTCTCTATATGCAACAGGAAATACAGTGCTCCTGTGGAGGATGGTTCAGAGTAAGAACTTTACTTTGGTGCTGTGGAATAGCCAGACACCTTTCTAGTGACCTCCCCAGGAGACAGAGGTGACTGGTTGGCTACGTTAGCGGTTGGTAGCTGGGTGATGTACATAGGTACCAGGGTCTCAGTGCCTTTCTGGCACGTATATAGACTCCTTGGAGCGATACAGCCAAAAGCACTTTGGTGTACTGCATGGCAGATGCTGCCTGGAGCAAAATGTTGCCATATGACACCACTGAGCTCATGGGACATCTTGTTCCTAAGGCATGCACTCTTTCCAGACCGAGCCACAGTGGCAAATTCCCTCCTTTCCAAGAGGTGATATTTATTCCTGAGCCATCAAGAAATGGTCAGGCTTCCCACCCCGCACAGACCCACAGAGAAGGGGATGTCTTTTTCCAAGCTGATCATTGTTCCTCTGTGCTGAGACTTCCCAAGTGTGACTGTAGCTGATTCAGTCACCTAGTTTCTCCAGGAGTGAAGGCATCTTTTTGATGAAGGGCAACTGGAAAAGTAGCGTTGTTCTGATTTTGGATCCCTTGCATTTACTAAGTGTCATTGCCACCTTAATCATCCCTGCCCTCTCTAAAAATGTGTGATCTTGAGGCCAACTGAGTCAGGGAACTGTTTGGTTGGGCTGAAAAGTAACCTTTGATTTGAATGCCCTGATCTTTTTCATCTTGTGTCTGCACAAATAATTGTGCCAAGGTAGGTAAAGAGGATGTCCTGGGAAAGCGACTGATTAAGAACGGTGCGTTCCTGCCTGTAAAATCCCTGCCTCAGTATCATTTGAGGCTTGCTTTAACTGGGTACCTGTAGAGCTGGTTGAAATGTATTCTCTGAAACAATTTTTCCTTTGGAAAAAATCCAGTTTCATTAAAATTGAAATGTTGCATAGGAACATGTCTCCTCCTAGTTCCAACTAATATTTTCTTTGTTTTGGTAAAACATGCATGTTCTGATAAGTTAGCATCTTGTTTTAATTTTTGTATTATATTATTAGAGTTCAAAACAGGGTGTTTTGATAGTTCCAAATGGATCTTTTTGGAAAGTTTGTTGCATAGCAAACAAGCTGCAAAACCCATCCCCAGACCAGAAGTCGTTCTTTGCAGCTGAGGAGATAAGTCCTGTCCGCTGCTAGCTCCTTCTGCCGATCATTCCTCTTTAGATGGCCAGCACATTTCTATTGGAGTTGCTGAACCTACGCTGCTTGCTCTTGGGATCTGGCCCTAAGAAAGGGAAGCCAATCTCACTGCCCCTGATCAAACAAAACAACTGTGAAAGCTGCTGGGTTGTGCTGATTACAGCCTGTCTCCAGTACCCTTATCGGCAATTTTGGGCTGCAACAAGGAGATATTTTCCCTCTAGAAATGAGTGGTTCCTTCAGCCTGCGGAAAGGCTGCTAATCCTCTTGCCATCTTGTGCTGTGCTTCCCTGAATGTTCTTCCTCTTGATCTAGGCACTGCACCATGAAATTTCCCAGCCTTGTTCACAAATGAGCCAGACAAAACAGCTCTGTAGTGGGGACCCTTTCATCTGCTGCCTGACCTAGCTGGTTGTTAGTTTGTCTTGGCATGGAGTCCTTGTTTCCCCTGTGCACATGGCCCCTGTCTCTTACACATCGGCTCAGGTTGAGGCTGCCAAGAGGAAGTACTGTGCTCCGAGCTGTTTCAGAAAAGCCACCATGGAGACCTTGGAAAGGCATTTGAAAGTCTCCACTCAGCAGTAGGTTCCCATACTGCTTCCATAAGGTGGAGAAAAACCCTACCCCCCAAAGCCCAACCCATAACAAACCTCTTAGGAGAAACAAGAAATGTTTAACCCTTTGAGGCATCATCTCTCCCTGGGGAGAGTTTGCAGCCTCAGTAGTGGCTTTACAGTAGAATAGAAAGATGATTCTTTTTTTAGCAGCTGTTACATACATTTACTACAAAGAAGAGCATGTGACTTGAACTTGTCTGAATAATTAACAGGCAAAGATCAAATTGCCATAACAACAGTTTCAGTGTCTCACAAGACTCAAAGACCTGTTTTATTAAGTAGCTTTGAAATTTTCAATTCCAGTGCCTTATCAAGTATGTTTTATTTGGATGATAACAGCTAAGGCAATTGTTAAACAGCTGAGTAATTTTGTTTATCTAAGCAAGCACCATACAAATTTGTAAGTGCTTCTGACTGCAGCTCCTCTTGATTAGCCGCAGTGAGGTCATTGCCTTTGGTAGGGCATAGCACAGCTTTAAGGAGTTCACACTTTCTCATCTGGAAGTTAACTCTCTGCAGCTATAATCAACCTGGTGTGCATATTTGGGCCTTGTACTGGTTCACATGAGGCACTAAAACCCTTCAGAGCTTAGGTTTCTTATTGATCAGCTACCCTAACATCTGAATACATGCTCAGACAGGTACCTGCACATCATGACTTCTCTTGACTAAAGAGACAGCTTGACACAGCTGTGTTTTAAATATGACAGCGTGCCAGTCCCTAAAACTGGACAGGCTGAATCAGTTCAGACTTTTTTCAAATGCAAATAGGGTGAGTTTGCTAGGCCTTCACTGAAAGCATTTAGGCAGACCCATTTTAACTTTCCTCCACAATACAGATAAAGTACCTATAACCACTGGCACTACATAGCACATAACAGAAGATGCTGCAGTCTTGGCTGCTTGCTATGTTTGCTTGTGCTTTTGTAGCTATAGGCAGCAGCATTTCCACACCTTGGTGTTCAGCCTCAGGAGAATCCCATGTGCTAATTCAGCTTCCCCCTGTCATACTGTTTCTTCCCATCCTTGCATGCCTGTATTCATTCCTCCTGCAATCTCTACTAGTCAGTTATTCATGGGCTCAGCATCTCCTAATGCTCCCTGGAGAACAGCAGTGCGGGGTGATTCAGCATGCTAGCCTTTCAGACTTCCTTGTGAGGGAGGAACTGCTGGAACTGCGTGGGAGGCTGTTGAGGCTGCCGTCAACAGACCTTTGGTCTGTAGGTGACAGTAGAGTCGGTCAGTGCAGCTGTACTCGCTAACCGGACACAGGGATTTGTCCCTTCAGTCCCCCTTTTGTTTTCTTCTAATTATTACCAAGGTCGGTCAGGCAAGGCTCACCCATGTCTTGAACGCAGGCAGAAATACTGGAAAAGATCATTGGAGTATTCAGCAGCTCTCGTGTCCCATTTTACAGGAGGAACATCTCAGGGTTGAGAGTCTGACTTCCCTCTGCTTGGTCAATGAGAGACTTGTGTCAGAAGGCAAACTTGGAAGACTGCTAAGCTAAGCTTGTGAAGAAAAAGCTTTTGGGGCTGATGAATATTTGTCCTCCTTGTGACCTGATTCTTCTTCACATTTGCCACCCAAAAGCTGTTTCTGAAAACCGTGTCAAGTTGATGTGCGAATGGTGCTCCCTCTGTTACAGAACTATAGTCCCTATCTCCTTGTGCTAGGCTGAAGTTTAACCACAAACTCAATTATATTGCTGGCAGAACTTTAATTTGATGCAATTTTCTATCTAGCTCTGTCCTGTTCTCTTTACCCTCCAGATATTTTCCACCTTCTCCTTCCATTGCTAGCTGAGATCCTGTCTTCATGAATTTGCTGGATTGTTGTTATTTTTTATTCATTGCAGGCCAGCTTCTATTCTTGTTAATACTTGAAACCAGCTGCCCAAGCGATCTTTAAATCTGGCCCACGCGTCTGGGAGGCATCTCTGCCAGCATACATATTTTGACAAACAAAGCTTGCATTGCTTTAGATTTAAATTGGGGGTTGGCTTGCTTGAATGAGTTCCAAATAAAACATTAAGGCAAGAGAAAAAGTGCAAGCAACTTGAGCCGATAATAAACAGGACAACCTCTGGGAAACATCTTGCTTTACAGAAAAGGATGAGAATGCTGATATTGCCAAGGCTTCCTAGCTCTTTTGAAAAGGGGAAGAAAGTTTTTTATTTAGCTATTCAAAATGGAAAATGCTTGACAATCTTCCTGTAGCATTTCTTTCCCCAGGGGTGGCTGAAAGGGGGATACTTCGCCTTGTTGATGCAGAATGCAGAAAGTGTATTTCGCAGAGCTCTTGAGCCTGATTTAATAACTTGCAGTGTGTGGAAGTGTCAGAGCAAGCATTTGTGGCTGGGGGGGGGGGGGGGAAATGGTGCTGCAGCAGTGGTGGCACAGTGCCGGGGGTTGTGGGGCCGGGAGAGTCTGCAGCAGTGGCTGGTGTGGTTCTGGGCATATCTCTCTCTGACCTCTGTTCCCTCCTCATTAGGCAGACATCACAAAATGCGTGGTGAATACTGACCCCAGCCTTCGCTCCCACTGGCTTGTGGCCGCTGTTTGCAGCTTTGGTCACTTCCTCAAGGCTATCTTCTTTGTCCTGCTGCCTGAGAGATGAATCTGAGTCACCAAGTGCAGCTGCCCTACCCCATCTTCTCCCCGCTCCAGAAGCAGTGGTAATGGCAATCTCTGAAGAGGAGGAAGAGAAGAACCAGGACGAACGAAAGGCTTGTTCTCCTCTCCCTTCAGCTGGGAGCAGATGATCAACAACAGTCTCCTTTTTGCAGCCACAGGAGCCTCTCTCACCATTAATCCTTTCAAGAGTCTTGTTTTCCTGGGTGACTTGTGTGTGTGGCCTGGACGTTGCCAGTCCCTGGGCATGCTGATTTCAGCTGTGTGGAGCGTGGACTGTCAGTTCCTTACAGCTGTGTTGCATGCTTATGCTAATGCCAGACAGAGGTGAGGAGGAAGGGGATATTATTTGAAATGGGATAGAAAATAGGAGAGGGGGAGAGTCCCTCCTTTGCTCCATGTGATTCCCCTTTTAGTCCTCAGACTCACCTTGCGTTGATTCTTGTCACCTTTGTGCTTAAACTCCACCTCCTCCTTTATACTAAACTCTGACTTGCTGGGCTCTGCCCCCAGCATGGTGGAGGGGATAATGCAGCTGTGGGTTTTTAACATGATAAAAACAAACATACTGTCATCAGATGCTTTTCCCTGACTTATCTTGGAAATCAGACTGAGTGGCTGTGTGAGGGCAGTTGCATGTGATGCAGTTTGCAAGTGTATTTTGTTGACCCCTCTTACTGCGCTCACGCTGTTTCAAACAGGAGAGCGAGGGGCAATGCCTTCAAGCAACAACTCGGGATTGAATTTCATAATGAAGAAAAATGTTTTCTCCACTGAGATTTCATCAGAGCTAAGCATGTAAGTAGTAAAGGCTGGGGGGCATGGGCAGGAATTAGGGGAACAGTAGGTGAACTGTCTGGTGTTGTGAAGGGGGAAAGCTGTGTCAAAAGTAGTTGCTTTATGTTTCTCCTTTAATGTCTTCGGAAGTACAACTCGCAGTCGTCTTTGTGGCAAACAATAAAAGAAAATAGGTGGTGTTTCAGTATTGCAAAGGGTATTGTATTTGTTTCCAGAGTTAAAAATTCCAAAAAAGGCCAGAACAGTGCAGAGACAAACACTCAGGCTATGCTAAAAATACTTCAGCTTTTCCCCTGGTAGAACATGTTAACGTGTTAAAACTACAGCTCGCCTGGTTCATGCTAGGAATTTAACCCATGTTGTTACCATGTCAGAAATGTGCTGTTTTCACCGACAGAAGCAGGGCCTCACTGCCATTGGCAGGGGAAGGCTGTGGAGCCTCTTCTCTGCCAAAGCCTTGTGGGAGACACCCTGCTCGGTGCCTTGCTCCCAAGAATGTGGTGTTGCAGAAAAACACTGTTCTGGATTAAGAACACGTGGCATTACAGGAGTTTTTGCTGGGTTTTTTTTTCCCCCCAATTTCCCTCCCACACCCTGTGTTTAGAAGGGCTTTACTGTTTCCGTCCAGAAGTTACAAATGGGTTTAAGAATAAAGCAAAGCCTTCACTTTTTGGTTATATCTGTGTGACAGGTTTCTGCTAGCAGTCAGTAGTGCTGTGCTCTGACCAACAGAACCTCTGGCAGAGCATATGTAGGTGGTTATACCCTTGCATAGTACTGCTTTTGACTGGTCTAGCCTTTTGCACTTCTGCTGATACCTTGACGTATGGGTACCGGGCCCAGCTTTACCCGTAGTACTACACCCGCAGTGAAGGGTGCTTTACCAGCTCAGTCTACTAGTACTTTTCCAGTAGTAAAGTACTACTAGTTCTTGTGGAGCAAAACCCTTAAAAGACAACTGCCCCCTGTCCCCAGTTGCCCAACAAAAACACTCACCAAGAAGGAGAAAGCCTCCTGTTCCATATCGAAGCTGCATGCTGCCTTTGACAGTGTCTAGGCAGACTTTGGCTACACTATTAAAAGTTGGGGAGGGTTATACTGACGAAGTTCCCAGTGTGGATGCAGCTGATGGTGCCCTGAGGTTGGTGCGTTTTTGTGTGTGTAAAGCTTGCAGCAGTTCCCCAAATAAAATCAAATTGCCAAAGGAATTTTTTTTTTCTTCCTGACATAATTATATCGGCATTAGGGGTTTTTCTGGCAACTCTCCCACTTGGGATTTTCTTCCTTAATTCCTGACAGATCTGGCTATGGAAACTTAGACCAGGTATAGCGTACGTGGTGAACTAAACTAATCACACTTTGAGCAGCACAGAGAGGATCCCCTCTGATCTGCAATAGATGCAGTAAAAGCCCTATAGTTCATTGCAGGGGGATGCAGCTTCGTTGTGTTAAAGGAGCTTATGAAAAAGTAGACTTTGGATTTCTGGAAATATCTTTGTCCAATGTCTTTGACTTGGACAGTTTCGCAGCTTGTGAAGTACAGCTTGCCTTATCATGCCTAGTGTTTTTGTGAAGTGTATGTGAGTTAATGGAGCTAGCACAGTCGAACACTGGGACTGTCAAGACCTTTCTCAATTTAGATGCTGTTTTGAAATGTAATACTTAAGGCTATGACTGCTTTTTCAGTAAACAAGTGATATCAGAGGGCCTGTTAAGGAACATATAGAGTTAAATGCATCAATTAAGTGGATTTAATAAAAAGATAATGATAAGCCAAATAAAGCAGCATTGCTGGAAAGGAATGTGTGTGGGTGGGAAGGGGGTTACACAGGCAGGCAGACAAAGACTCAGTCTGGATACTGCCGATAATGAAGAGGTGGTGGAGCTCCCCACAAATAGGTTTCAGCTTCTCTGGCTTTCGTCTGTCTTGTTGCATTTGCTAGTCCCTGCAACATATGTACCAGAGCTGAACAGTGGGCTGCTTGTCTTGCACTTAGTGCTAAACCAGGGTGATACTCTTACCCTTCTCACTCCTTCTACAATAACCACATTGGCACTAGTCTTGCTACCAAAATAAACAGCAAACAGCATTGTGCGCACCGCTGTGCTTTTGGCAAGCAACAGTCTTTAGCCTGATTCAGCCAAGTATTTATGTTGCGTTCAGTTTTAGTTGTAGTATTTAGGTATTTCAGAGTACTTCCAGAGGTCCTTTATAATCTCAGTAGTTCTGTGGCTCTGTGATTTTTTTCTTTCCCTCTTCTCTGGCCAATCCTACCTGGATTGGTACCATCAGGGTTGGTCGTTTATCACCCCAATAAACATTTTCCTTTTATATGATTGGTGATGGTCCTAGGAGTGTGTCTAATTTATTAGCTGTTAAAGAAAACCAAGAATGTAAGTACCAAGGTTAGTACTATTACGCTTCTTCATATTGAAAGCCTGGCTGTTGTTCCTCTTCCAGCATCAAGAAATGAAAACCCCCAAGCTAGCCATCTCACATTTTCCGGCCCCCCCCAGTGTTTCCAATTATCTGCTTGAGAAAATTCCTTGTAGTGAAAGTTGCCTTCATTTTTTTTAAGCTGTTTTGCTCACATTGAATGTTCTAAGTGAGACTTATCTATGCACACACTGTCTTGTGGGGTTGCTCCCTGTCCCCAGTCACCTTTCAGTCCACTGCCCAATTTCATCTCCTTTTGCTAAAGGGCAGCAGTCACCACAGGGGCAGGGGACAGACCTCCTTTTCGCACCGGGAAACGTGGCTGCTGTTCATCCAGTTAGGCAGCAGCCGCTTGGCACACGTAAAATCCAGCCAAGCTTTTGCTGTCTCCTGCCTTGCTGTCACACCAGAACAGGCTGGGGGTATAGGGGGAAGGTGAGGCTTTTGCAGTGGGGGCCGGGTGGAGGTATGGGAGATGTCTAGGGAGTAGTGGGAGGAGGGAGAAAGGGCTGAAAATGGGAAAATGGCATCTTAAATATTTTAGTGGATGTGGAGTATTTTGCAGATGAGAGCAGCTTGTGCGTTATTACTGCAGGGAATGTCAAGGTCAGAGAGTTGAGCCTGCAGGAGCCTGAGCTTCAGCACTCCTTTGTTCATAGAAAAACTCACTCCAGTAAGGATTATCCCACACCCCCGCCCCGGTGCCGTCTTCATTCTCAGTTTCTTTGTAATAGACCTACATTCAGTCAACAGAAATATTTGCTTTATCAAAAAGGTAGGGAGCAGAAAAGCTGTCTCGGCTTTGGTATTTCAATGACGGGCATTTGAGCAATGCTTATCGTGTCCTAGACCTAACATTGCTTCAACCGCAGCCTTACTTATACCTCTCCCTTGTCAAACATTGGCAGTGTGTTCACCTCTTCAAAGCAACTAGAGAAACTGAAGTCGTCTCAATCTCGCAGCAGATGTCACTTGTGTTCCTGCACTGCCTTTTCTCCTGTAAATGGAAAGAAAACAATCTGTGAAGCCCTTAATTTATCAGACTTGCATCTGTATTATATACTGAAGTACGGAACAATAGTGTCAGGGAGTGACATTGAGGTTTCCTGGAAAATTTCAATTTCCTCATTTTCAAACTTGCTGTTTAGACCCTGAGAAAATGCTCTGCCTATTTTTTTTATCCTCCTTTTAATGTGCAAAGTCTGCAAGTGCGTTTTTTGTGCACAGTTAAATTGAATATGAAGCAGGTTTTAAGTCCCTTAGACGGCTTTCTGAAAAGATGCCCTTAAGGCATTCCGACGGCTTTGCCAAGAGCCTACTTGATGTGGCTCTCATCAATGTGTGGCTCCTTGAATTTCTTTACTGTTGTTGTTTTTTTAAATCTAGTATTTATAATATTTATAGTCATAAATTTGCCACAGATTAGTTATTCTCTTAGGGCTATGTGAAAACAATGTATGGTACCAAATTAAAGACAAGAAAACAGCAATTTAATGTACTGCTGGCAGAGTCTATAAATTTCTTCTATGCAAGTGGTTTGACAGATGGAGTTTAAATAGTCCCTCAGAAAAGCCTGTAACCTCTTCAACTAAACATTTTGACCCACTGGGATTATAAGCCTCTAGCACAGCTAAACAGAGTGATCCTTGGTTGAACTTTACACCGTCACCCAGAACCTGGAAGTCCATTGCATGTTCAGGCAGAGTCTGTGGGAAATAGAGTGCTCCTGAGTCAATCACATGACATGCAGTCCATATCCAGGCAAGGTCAGATGAAAAAAAAAAACTTCCCCTCTCACGGAGGGGGGGGGCAGGAAGTGTTGGGAAGGGAATTTCCAGCTTCCTTACAAACATTTCAGAGCTTTAGCTCAGAAGAAACTTCATCTCTTTTCTGCCCATAGACCAGCAGACAGCACTAGAGCTTGTCTTCTCCATCACCGCAGGAAGACTTGATACATCTCTACTTATGTCAAATACTGAATTGTGAAGCTAAGCTCAGAAAAAAAGCACTAAAGAGATCAATCCCCTGTTGTTTAAAATTTCCACTTCTGGCTCTATCTCAAGACCTTTACTCGAACTTTTCTTAAGCTCTGCATTTAAGCAAGATAAGGTGTGTTTTCTACCTCCAGAACACACCCATCCCCTGCTGGAACATGACTCGCACTGGGCTTCAGTCAACTGAAGGGCAACTGGTTTGGACTTTAGAGGACTATAGGCAGTACTGGTTACCTTCATCGTCACTAATCTGATGGGAGCTGAGAGGACTGGCCCCTTGGCAGGATCAGGCCCTGCAATAGCTCGCTCTGTCCTGCAGCCCAGGTGCTCCCTCACAGTATCTTGCCTGACTTTCATTAGGCAGCAGCTGGAGTTCCCTCAGCTGGTCCCTGCAATGCAGATCCGTTCTCCTAATGCTCTGTGATGCTGTCCAGGTAACATAAAGCAACCCGAAGGTTGAACTTGAAGCCCTCTCAGCATCAGGGTGTCACCTTTTTGCTCCTAACGTGGAGGTGTGAGTCGGGAGCTGCACAGTGTCTGCCACAGGGACAGTTTGTTCCCGTTTCCCACCAGAATTGAGTGTGGATTTTCTGGTAATCTAAGAAGGGGATTAAAAAAAAAAAAAAGCTAAGCCTTTTATTTTGAGCTCCTTGGCACTTCAAAAGAAAAACTAAATCACCGGTAAGCTGCTAGAACATACTTTGCTCTCAGTTCCTCAGCCAGGAGATGGCCATACTGCCCTTCTTAAGTCTGGCAAGCTCCTGCCAGCAAAAATCCCTTGCCTGTGCTGTCAGGCTTTGCCTGATAATGCTTTAAGTGTAGGTTTGCTGCCAGAGCTCCTGGGAAGAGGTGTCTGACCCCCATGGCCATCTGACCCAGCAGGTTGTTTTTTCTCCCAGAGAAAAAAATGCCTGGTACTACGGCAGAGTTGGTGTTATCCTGAACAGCATCATACTCACAGCGATGGCCCCATTGCCTGGCATATTTTCCCTCTTATTACGGCTGACAGCATGCATTTATACAGGGTAGAAAAGGAGAAAGCACGATTGGCATTTGAAAGGGAGCAAACAACCCCAAAAGTGTTGTGTTGTGTTCAGAGCCTCTCCTGCCTCCTGAAAGGGTTTGGGTACACGCCGTTGTTTCCCTTTGGTACTCACCAGGCTGATGGATGCTGTGAGTCTGTGATTTGTGGCTGATGGTAGATCACTTGAGGCTGGGAAAAGATACTTTGAATGTCTGTGCCCTTGATTTTTATGGCTTAACTGGAGGAGAGCAGCATTACTAAAAATACTTACACGTTCAATCTAACATTTTGTCTCTGAGGGAGAGCAATGGATTCACAAAGTGAAGCCAAGGCTGTATATTATTACAAGCAATAAATGTACTGGAGTCTGTAACTAGCTAGATCTAAATTATGAGACATCCTTCCCAAACCTTGCAGCACATCAGTGGGAAGACTGGAAAAACTGCACAGTAGCTTTGCCTAAATTTAAGCAGTTTAATTAAAAAAAAAAAAAGTTAGTAGTGTGTCCTGTGTTATTTTGACATTGCATTCACGGACTTGAGGTTTTCTGTAGGGATGATGACTGGTTGGAGTGGGGAAGCTGAGTGGGACATCTCTGCTAAGCACATTAATTTTTGCTACAGTGAGCTGCCATGCAATAGTTACATGTCTGGTGCTGTGAAGGCCGTGTAAAAGGGGGTAAAAGTCACGGTAATATTGCTGCTGCAGTTGGCAGGCCAGCATCCAAGCTGGATGGGACAGCCTGGCCTCCAAAGTGACCGGCTCAGGGCTGGCTGGAAGCTCAGGGAGATGCTCTGTACTAGGTGACATTCTCAAGACAGCCTTCAAAACCAGCCAGGCTCTCCTCAAGCTGCCAAGCTGTGCCAGGGTAAGGCGTTGTGGTAAGAGTGTCTGGCAAGAGTGGGCTTGAGCCTGAGGTTGTGCCTGCAGCCAGGCGGGGATTCAGCCCCAAAGCAGGAGGGAAGAGCACTGCCGTCCATTGAGAGGGATTAACAGGCAACATTATCCCCATCCTTCCATGTGGGCAGGCTGCAAGTCTGTGCCGCACAAGGACTCAGGGTGGCACGAACTTGCCCTCTTAGGTTGGAAAATGTTGAACTTGTGTGAGTGAATGCTCAAGTCTTGTTTCTACAATTTCCAAAGTGGAGGAGAGCTGGGCTGGGGTTCATAGCGTTCAGTCCTGAGCTTAGCACATGTACTAAGTCTGCACTTAGCCTGCCATCAGAGCTGGCAGAAAGGTTGCCCTGTCGGTTTTAGGCTTCAGCTCTAGTTTCAGAGCTGGAGCTGGAGGAGGAGCATATAATCATTGGGTGATGGGTAAGGGCACAACAGCTCCCCGAGCAGCCACTGCAGTGAGAAGGCAGGTTGGCACCCACCTCAGCGCTTTGGTCCTTCAGATCATTGCTGCATGTCGTGCCAAGGGGCTGTTTATATTTGCTGCCTCCTGGGGCAAACACAGCTCCAAGGCTGAGCAGAAACAAAGTCTTAGGGACACCAGGAGCCTGAACTGACAACGTGCTAAGATTAATTTACAGTGACTTAAATCAGCCTATTTAGGAGTTCATAAAATGTAAAGCACTGAAGGAAAGGAGAAGGGAAAGCTGTAAGGAGAGCAGTGTGGTCCAGGAGTGTCCCGTGGATTCACAATGTACTTTCCAAAAACCAGTTATCTTGTGAAGATAGCTTCTTACTAAGAAGCATTTGTTGACTGCATATATTTATGTCTGCAGACATAAAAATTTCAATCAGCCCCTCTTTTGAAGAGAAGAAGAGCAGCTAAGAAAACATTTGCCCTTTTTCAAAGAGCTTTATTTACATTGGGATCAGAGTGATTCAGCACGGAGGCACCAGCCGGGGCTCGAGGCAATGCTGCACTTCCCTTGAAGATAGGGTTGAGGATTATATCAAAAGTGGAATTTAATCCTGCTATCTTTCACTTAAAAGATTTAGCAAAGTGCTTCCAATTTACTTCAGCAAATTCTCCAAGGACAGTGATGTCCTCAGGCTTTGAAGGAGTGAAATAGTGGGCACCTTGTCTCAAGGAAACATTTTGAGAGGTAGCTGTGGCAGCTGGAGAACAGGAGGTCTTCCTGTGCTTGCAATCTTTTTCCCAGTCTCCCCCAGCTGTGGCTGGCCTCTGGCTCGTGTCTCAGCAGGGCTGCAAGGCAGCGCTGTGTGTGTTGCTGGTAACTGTAGGACTGCCAGTGTGCCAGCCTGCGCTGGAGCAGCCGAGGCTGTGTGGGTGTGCGGAGGGCTGTGGGGGCAGCAGCCAGGAGGAGCAGGATTGCATGCAAATGCTGTTTTCTGCAGCATTTCCTGGCTTTTTCAGTGACTAGTGATGAACTAGCTACACAGGAAAAGGCACATTAAAAAAGAACTCAAAATGCACTTACGTTAAACTCATGCTGAAATTATTTCATGGTGCCATGGTTTCCACATGGCCCACCCTGACCCATTACCACTGGTAGTGCTGAACTGCTCTCATCCCATGAACAAAAACCAAACACTGAAGGAAGAAAGGGGCACTAAGGGAGCGAACAGGATGATTTAATGTCCTACAACTGACGTTGTACAAAAGACCCAACCCCTCCAAGGGATCAAACAGGACAGCATAGCTGGCCTCTGCCTTTGCAGGGTGCATCGTTCCCAGCCTGACCCCATTTGTAGAGAGAGGCCCTTCCCCGTGGGCTCAGTGCTCAGGGTGCTGGCTTCGGGCTGGGTAGGGGCTCCTGGGCAGTGCGGGTGCTACAGGCAGGCAGCACGCCTGAGATGCTGTGGCGGCTGGCTGCCACACGGATGCCAACGGGGGACAACAACCTCTAAGCATGAGCCAATTGCTTTCTGTGTCCCCCACCTTATCTGACTTAAACACAATGCTGGCTTTAAACTCTTGGGAAAAAAATTATGAATATCCACCCCAGGCTCTCAGTGCCAGGCTACATGGGTCTGTCTGGCTTTGCACATCCCTTGGGCAGCTGGGAGCCTCAGACAGAGGGGTCGGACCAGGCACATGGCGAAGCTGTTCAGAGGAGAATGAGAACATGCTGTCACTCACTGGTGGCACTGGGAGACAACCAAAAGACAACTGGGCCAAAGCTGGCAAAAAAAAAAAAAAAAAAATCCCAGGAATTTCTCAGCAACTAGGGAACAATTTCTAGCAGAGAAACTGTCCTTACTCTACAGTTATGCTGTGTGACGAAGACTAGATGAAGCTGTGGCTGCAGTGAGTCAGTGGCAGGCACAGAACTGCATGGAGGAATCAGGGTTCAGCAACACCGCAGGACACGAGCCTTAGAATGCAGGGGAGCATCACACAGGACACCAGTGCAGCAATCTCATGCAACAACAATAGCACGAAATAGCCTCTCAGGTTAAGCCTGTGTATAAATGTGTGTCAGCTCCTCCATGCCAATTTACTGTCCCCGCCCTCTACAAAAAAACATCTCTCCTGGGTGCTTTGAGGGAGCTGCTTGCTCCACCGTGTATTGCCATGCAGAGGAGGTGTGAGGTTCACGAGAAGGTGGGACGTGCTGCGGGAAAATGGCTGTGTTAAGCTTCTGGGTGATGCTGAAAAACCAGCTCTTCTGTCTTCCTCCTGCCCGGTACCGTGTGCTGGGTTTGCCGAGCGCCTCGAACTCGAAGGCAAGCAAAGGGCTCTCTGATGAGGGGTAGGTACTTTGGGTATAATCACCTGTGCTATTAAACCAACCAAATTGGTATTGGGTTTTGGATGGGATGAGACCAAGCAGCCTCTCCCATGACAGGAGGGGTTGTTAATCAAGTTTTACCTGGCTGACAGCTCCTGAGCATGGACTTTGCTAGAGCACGAGGGGCTGAGAGCAGAGCAGGGTTTAACCTGCCCCCTTAAAATGGGCACGTTTAAGGGGGCAACGCTACCTGCCTGACCCTGCCCTAAAAGCCTGGTGCAATAAAGGGCAGCAGCCTCTCCCGGGAAGACTGTGGGCAGCCTCCGATGCCACTTCCCATGGCCGGAGCTGGGGAAGAGCCTGGTGCCATGTCCCTGCAGACCTCTCACACATGCCGCAGTTGTGCTGGGGAAGGCACCAGCATCAGTGCGTGTCGGGGGATTACTCAGTCCCCGATGGAGGTGTATATACACGGCACAGACAAATGGGATTTACAACTGCCTACTTCCTGGCCTTACTTTCCAGGAGCAGGAACATCAACAGTGCACAGAAGACAGAAAAACAGCTCAAAAGAGTAAAAACATTTGAAAACATGCCTGTTCTCCAGGCACTCCTGGGAGAACATAAACAGAGTGTTTGGAAAAAACCCTGACACCTTCTTCTCCTCCTTCAGTAATAGTTCAACCTGCTGAAAATATGTTATTTGACTTAAAAAGCAGTCTGGGAACCTACACGTCACTCTCATCTGTGCAGCTCCGGTCTCTCTGAGCCAGTCCTAAAACCCTAAAGGCAGGAAGGCAGGCAGTTGTCTTTCTTACTTCGCCTCCCAGGCAGCAGCAGTGATGCTGAGTAGACCCACCCACAGTGAGATGGTCCATTTTCTTTTAAAATGTTTGTAATTAAGAGCTCTGGTTCCCTGGTGATGTGTCCTATAAAGCATTAAAAATAAAGCCATTAAATAAAGGAGGCACCATCGCTGCTCTTGAAAAAGAAAACAAAACAGCAAAAATCCGTGCACCAGAAGGAAGCAGAGTTTGGGCTGCCTTTCCAGGCTCAGGACACTGCTTCTGCAGATATTTATGGGCATGCATTTGTGAATGCAATTGAAGCCATGGAGCAGAGCTACCACCTCGACGTTATCCACAAAAACTTGAACCCACAATTAAATCTGGGGTTTGTGCCCTTCGGATATCAGCCACCCCGCTTTCCCAGCCAACGCGTGCTTGAGAAAGCAAAGCAGATGCAAGAACAGACTCGTGTCTGCTTTTGGTAATACTTTTTAATAAAGCTTTTCTTCCTGCTTTTCTCTGCCACCGCTCGGCCAGCACAATGTCATGCCTGGCTGCTGGCGCTCCAGCTGTGCCCTCCAGCTGTGCCCTCCACTCGCCATGTGGATGCTGGCAGTGGCGTCGCAGTGGCAGCCAGCTTTCCTGGCTCCGGCCCAGCAACAGACCTCTGCTTGCCGCAAGCAACCAGGCTGTTGCAAGCCTTCATGTATAGGCACCATTATAGTTAGGAAAAGGGAATAAAAAGCATTATAATAAAAAACAGTATCCAGATACACCATGCCTTCAGTAGGTGTGATTCCACGCTATCCTGAAGAAATGTGTCCAGAACTGCTTGTCTGCTTGCTGCTTACTCTTCCTTAGTCTTCCTTAAATTTGCTTGGAAAATCCCCATGGTGGGGCAGCACGGCCAGTCTGCGGGAGAGAAGAGCAGAGCTCTTGGGACCCTCCACCCCTGACCCTTGTGGTCAGACACCCCAGGCAGGCTACAGGCCACGAAAACTTGCAGCTCTTGCTCCAAAGAAGCTTGATACGACTCATCCCAGTGATTAGATGAGCAAGGGACAGGAATCCTGAGGGCAGATTTGCTCCTGCTGTGCGGGGTTATGCAAACCATAGGAGGGTTGTTCCTCCTGCCTTTCCAACAGACCCTTCGGCAGCTGCATTTGAAGAGGAGAGAAGCCACCAGTGGCAAGACCTGGGGCAGCCTTCCCAGAGGAGATGGGCACCTGGCAGTGTGAGCAGAGTCCAGCTGCCTTGAAGGCCTTTGGTGAAGCTCTGTAGCGCAATTCATTTAAAACCAACAGTGCAACCCCAGAGAAACCTTCTCCGCAGCAGTTTTGTTCATAAACAAGACACAACTGGCATAGTTTTTTTTAATCTGCTTAATTTGTAAAGAACCAAAACGCCATAATTAAAAGACATAACTTATTTTATTGCCTTTGGCCCTGACCAGGTTAGAACATTTCTCAACCCAGATGCTGCAAAGGGAATTTAGGACCCTCAATTTGAAGTTAGCAGAGCTTTGAGCCTCAAGGAGCTGCTGATCTTATCAGGCTGGCTCTGCCACCCCTTCTTCACCAGACCTTTTGTCAGATGCACAAATGATCTGAGGCAAAGAAGTGTCTGCAATGCCTCAAAACTGGCTTTGCTGTGTCCTCCTGAGCTGCTATTGCAGAAGAAGAAATAACAGGGACGGTCAGCACGGATCAGAGCTGGTAGCAAGATCAGAGCTGCCAGCCCCGACCAGCCACCACCGGTGGAACTAGGACCGGGAGCAATGTGAATGCCCTACAAAGTCAACCATCTGCCAAAGCTTTCAAAGGCTTAGGGACCTCTGTGTGAGGGGAGTGAGCAGGAGGGAAGCACAAGATAATCCTGCTGATCAACCATGGGAAACTGCAAGAAAAGTTTGAGAATCTCTGAAATTCAGGAATTTTTTTTTAAGGTCTGCCAGAGTTTCTCAGTAACAGCTATGATTGCCTTTGAAGGCCAGATCCAAAGTCCAGTAAAAAGCTAAACAAAATTAAAAAATCCATACCAAACAGTAAAAAATTAAATACATGCCTATAAAAGTGTGACTACATTCCTATAGCTATGAGATCAGACCAGGAGTTGGAGCTTGTTCTTGGACTTATGCAGCTCCCATATGTCCTACAGGAAACCAATCTGCAGGAAATTTTGCTGTTTTCATTTTTCCAGAGACACAGTTTATTCAAAAAATACAACAATAACTCCAAAAAGTTGTTTATTAAGTGGAAGGACTTGTTTGCAGAGCAGAAGTGGAAGGGCCTGGAGACAGCTGGAGCTCCAGCGGAAGAGAGCAACACCCGACATAGGGGGATCTCCTGCCCACAAAGCAGCTAAACCTCCCGGCACACGGGCAGGCGAGCGTAAGCTTGTCCCAGGGAGAGCTGCTGCTGGACACCGCACCTTCCCTCAAGTTTGAGTTGTTCCGGAAGACCAGCACTGACAAATGCACTCAGCTGCTGTACAAGGGTATTGAGGCAAGACTTTCCTATTCTCTTCCCGAAGGACCTGCCACTGACCACTGCTGGAGATGGGTTCTGGGCTGGATAGCTCTTCGGCATGGCTCAGCATGGCACCTCTTGCTTTAACAATCCCGCCTCATTTTGTAATCCACAAAATAGCTTCTGAAGACTGTTACGGAGAAGATAAGCAAGGACACTATGCGATATTTCCAAGAGCTCCTGAAGGCAATGTGTAATTAGATCCAAACTTGGGCATCAGCTGGGTCTGAAAGTTCTTTCACTTGCAGCAACTCAGATGAAATCTTTACCCTCATTCAAGGCACCCCTTCCAGACAGTGGGATATTCTCCTAGTTTAGAAGACAAAAAAAGAGGACTGCACTGAAGTTAGGTTACTCTTCAGTCTTGCCAAGGCTGCAGCAGAAGAAACCACCCATCACAGCCGTGTGGAGGCTCTTGGTAGTGCCACAGCCCAGGCAGGGTCTCTAATAGGGAACCTGCTATATGGGTCACACCAAACACTCCTGGGTGGAGAGGCTGCAAGTGGGGGTTAAAACCACCACAGCCCCACCTTGCCAGGGCCACAAGCTCTACCCTGCACCGCAGAATCAAATACAAGGAGTGTTGACATTGGTAACAGTTTAAGTGGAATGTTAAATCTGACCCTCCTTAGAAGGAGCAGCTGGCCAAATGTGACCCTAGCAATAGAAGAATGATGCCAGACAGAGGAGCTCATGAACCAAGGCATGTACCTCTCTGTTTCCACCACAGGGTCAACTGTGGCCAACTCACAAGAGCAGTGGGAAGAGGCAGTGCTCTCTCTGTGTGTGTTCCTCCCAGGAAAGCAGAGTAGGGTACAACAAAGGTGATGTGCATGTCACCAACCATCTGCCATCTCAAAGACTCCAGCCTCTATTTGATTGCAATTTCTGCTACACACTGAGTATTTTTTTGGTTTACAAACTATTTCTAGAAATACCAACCTATCGTTTCAGGAGAGGAGACCCCTCCTTGTGTCTCCCGTGAGTGGTATTCTGATTTATTGTGACCAGAGAGCTACTGAGCCAAATGCTCTGGACAAAGGCATGCAGCTAGTCCTGGAAACGTGGGGCTTTGAACATGAGGTTGTTACTGCCAGAAAGGGCATGCTGAACCCACTGATGAGATATAGGGATGAACCCTTTAGAGCAGCCCAGTTAATTTTCCATATCAAGTTGAAAACAGCACTAAGAGAACAATGATCACACTGCTCCTCACGCAGCACTGCTTTTACTGCTGCACCGACTGGTCAGGAGGACGCTGGGCTGCTCCCTGGGTGCTGGGCACTGATGGTGGCCACCTTACTTGTGTCAGGTTTGACGTGGATGAATCTACACTTTTAGTGCATTGCTTTGCTGGTGTCTGGCTGGATGCATGGAATCAGGTTACAAAAAATGCTGTAGTGCTGCAAAAAAAACCATGGTGCTTAGCCTGGTCTTGTCTCAGAGGAAATGCTATTTTATTTAAACACATGATCATTCATAGTACTTAGATAATGAATGCAGGATTAAAAGAAAAATCTCCATGTCTGGATACACCTTGCTGATTCTGTCCATTTATGTCTCTTCCACGACAAAGGTATGAATTAATTTTTAAATGCTCAGGTATGTGGGCATGCTTTTAGGCTAGCGAGCCTTTGCTGCCTGCAGGTGTGCAGCCTAGGACATGTTTCAACAGTGCTGCAAACAATCAGCAGTTTTAAAGAAAAATGAAATTATCAGGCCATCCAGCCAGATCTTGTCAAATCCTCTCACCTGGTGGATGAAATCTGTTTACTTTATTGCTTTAAAAAAAAAAAAAAGTGAAGCCAACAAATCTCACTGGAGCCATACCTGCTCCGATCCAAAAGCTGCTGCCAACACACTTCTGGACTTAGGAAAAGTTGAGCACGGGCTGTCCCACATAAGAGATGTGCACTTCTTCCAGGTCCTGGAAGGGCTTCATTGTAGGGAAGGTCTGAGGGCCAGGTGCCCAGCATCCAGGCCAGAGGCTCCATCACAGGGTTCGGCTGGGGAGTCTCTGTGCAGGAGAGGAAAGAACAAAGAAGGAAAGTTCAGGGATCTGTGCTCTGCAGCTTGCTGTGAGCTGCTTACAGCTGGGTGGAGGTGAACAAGAGGCACCTAAGCAATGCTTTTCTGGGGCTATGTCAGCTCCAGACTACAAAGGGAGATAGGGAACTAAGAGCAGTCATGGAAAGTAGGTCTAGCTTCACATGTGCTCTTGGTCTCGCACTAGACACGAGACAAGCTTCCAAAAGACTGGTATCTGACTCCTATTTCTGATACTGATTTGGTGCATAAATCTGGTGGCCCTCATAGATTCCAAAGTTTGGCTGTGATTTTTGTAATGCCTCCCAATAGCTGGTGTGGATGCAGCATCAGATGTGAAGATGTTATTGCTGCTCCTTCCTTCCACAGCTTCTCCTCTGCCCTGGTGCCACCAGGGAGGGAGTGGTGGATGGAAGAGGCAAGACTGAGTTTGGCTGAATGTTTTTCTGAATAAAAGAATAAAAGATCTATTTTGCAGGAGTTCTGGACACAGTGGTAGCTCCCCAAACGAGCTGCTAGCCTGGTACAAAGCATGGCATCACTAAAATGTTACCGCACCTACAAGCGTTGAGGACCATTGCATTCATCAGCCCATCAGCTTCAAGTTCAGTAGCTCACAGAGGCTTTCCCAGCACACACAATGGGACATGTGGATCTCCTTAGCAGACCCCCCCCCCCCCCCTTAAAAACATCCCCCCCCCCCCCCCCCCCCCCCCCCCCCAAGACCCTTGCACTTATACTAAAATGGACTCATTTATTTGTCTGCAGCTTCCCAAGTTTGTGAAAAGCTTTTTGGCGGGCTTTTGCACAAGCGGCAAGTTTAAACACTGAACCCTCACCGACCTCACAAACACACACAGAGGCGGAGCGCCACGAACATCCCTCCTTGTAGGATCAGATCAGACTCTCAAAACAGCACTTTCAGGCAACGGTCTCTGACCCCCACCGCACCCCGCAGCGTCCAGAAA